GTTATTTTTCCTGATCCCCTCCCTCCTCCTACCCCCAACCTTCCAACAGGCTTGGATTGTTCCCCTCTCTGTGTCCATGTATTCTCATCATTTAGCTCACACTTATAAGTGAGAACATGTGGTATTTGGATATCTATTCCTGTGTCAGTTTGCTAAAGAAAATGTCCTGTAGCTCCATCCACGTCCCTGCAGAAGACATGCTCTCATTCCTTTTTATGGCTACATAGTATTCCATGGTATATATATACCACATTTTATTTCCTTTTCTTTACATGTTGTATATGTACCACATTTTCTTTATCAACCAACATTTATGTTGATTTCACGTCTTTGCTATTTTGAATAGTGCTGCAATGAACATATGCATGCATGCATCTTTATAATAGAACAATTTATATTGCTTTGGGTATATACCCAGTAATGGACTGCTGGGTCGAATGGTATTTCTGTCTCTAGGTCTCTGAGGAATCTCCACACTGTCTTTCACAATGGTTGAACTAATTTATGCTTCGACCAACTGTAAAATTGCTCCTTTTTCTCCACAACCTTTCCAGCATCTGTTATTTTCTGACTTTTTAATGATAGCCATTCTGACTTGTGCGAAATGGTATCTAATTGTGGTTTTGATTTACATTTCTCTAATGATTAGTGATGTTGAGCTTTTTTTCATTTAATTGTTGGCTGCATGTATATCTTCTTTTGAGAAGTGTCTGTTCATGTCCTTTGCCCACTTGTTTATCTGGTTAGTTGTTTTTTCCTTATAAATTTGTTTAAGCTGATTATAAATTCTGGATATTAGACTTTTTTCAGATGCTTAGTCTGTAAAATTTGTTTCCCATTCTGTAGGTTGACTGTTTACTCTGTTGATAGTTTCTTTTGCTGTGCAGAAGCTTTTTAGTTTACGCTCATTTGTCAATTTTTGCTTTTGTTGCAATTGCTTTTGGCATTTTCATCATGGCATCTTTGCCCATACCTATGTCCTGAATGATATTGCCTAGTTTTTCTTCTAGGGTTTTTATGGTTTTGGGTTTTACAGTTAAGTCTTTAATCTATCTTGAATTGATTTTTGTATATAGCGTAAGGAAGGGGTCCAGTTTCAATTTTCTGCAGATGGCTAGCCAGTTCTCCCAGAACCATTTATTAAATAGGAAATCCTTTCTCCATTGCTTGTTTTTGTCAGGTTTGTCAAAGATCAGATATTTGTAGGTGTGTGGTCTTATTTCTGGGTTCTCTATTCTGTTCCATTTGTCTGTGTGTCTGTTCTTGTACCAGTACCATGCTGTTTTGGTTACTGTAGCCCTGATGTATAGTTTAAAATCCAGTAGTGTGATGTCTCCAGCTTTGTTCTTTTTGCTTAGGATTGCCTTGGCTACTCAGGCTCTTTTTCGGTTCTGTATGAATTTTAAAATAGTTTTTTTCTAGTTCTGTGAAGAATGGTACTTTAATGAGAATAGCATTGAATCTTAAATTTTTGGGGGCAGTGTGGCCCTTTTCATAATATTGATTCTTCCTTTCCATAAGCATGAAATGTCTTTCCATTTGTTTGTGTCATTTCTGATTTTTTTGAGCAGTGGTTTGTAGTTCTTGTGAAGGTCCTTCACTTCCCTTGTTAGCTGTATTCCTAGATATTTTATTCATTTTGTGGCACTTGTGGATGGGAGCCCATCCTTGATTTGGCTCTTGGCTTCACTGTTGGCGTATAGAAATGCTAGCAATTTTTACATATTGATTTTGTATCCTAAGACTTTGCTGAAGTTGCTTATTAGCTTAAAAATGAAAAACACACTATTTATTTATTTTTAAAAAATATCCCCAAAAAGCTGATAATTATGTTGCTTGAAATATATAATTCAGAGTATTTTACTCAAAGATTTTGCTTTCTTTTTTTTTTTTTTTTCTTTTTGAGAGTCTTGCTCTGTCACCAGGCACCAGGCTGGAGGGCAGTGGCGCAATCTCGGCTCACTGCAACCTCCACCTCCCGGGTTCAAGCAATTCTCCTGCCTCAGCCTCCCGAGTAGCTGGGACTACAGGCGCACACCACCACACCCAGCTAATTTTTGTATTTTTTTTTTTAGTAGAGATGGGGTTTCACAGATTTTGCTTTCCTAATATTTCCTAAAATTATCAAGCTTCTAAATTACAAAATGGTACTTTGAAAATATTGTGAGACTTTTAATCAAATAAAAATAAAATCTCTATAAAAATACTACAAATTAATTTTTATGTGCATAATAATGTCTATATTAGTATAATTAACAATATTCTGTGAATATATTCTTTCTAATTGGAAGTGACATGAATTCTATTGGAGATTAAGAAGTAGGTCAATCAACTGATTAGTAAATTCAGTCACTTTATCCTTGTGGTGTTTGAAGTAGCTAGTAAAATTCAATACAAGACAATACCAGAGCAACCACGTAGTCTAATAGCCTTTGTTAAAAATGATGGATATTTGAGCAGATTGAATAAATACACTGCTCTACTACATAAGAACCAGAACTAAAATTAGTACAATATGACACCTTTGATAACTCTAAGTTTTTTTTGAAACAACATCATGTTATACATACCAGAAGGTGGACATAATTATTTGTGATAAGTAAATGTAGGATTCATTTGTAAGAGAATATGGTTAAATAGTCATAACTAAATCGTACTTTCTGTAGTTAGTGGCTATCTCAATATAGTCAAAAGGCTTATCTCAACTGATTTTGCAATCTATTCTCCATAATTCTATCCAATAGAGACCATTCCTCTTATAGGACCATGCCTGTGAGTTTCAACAATTACATCAGAGTAACTCTCAGCTGTGTCAGATACTATCCTTGTCACATAGCTTCTTTGTCTGAAAAACACTTAGACTATAAAGTTTAAGGGAAGCACTGTGTTTTATATTCTAATTGATCACTGATTTGCCAAGCACTGTTTACTGAACTCTCTATGTAAAAAGCATTGTGCCAGCTTAAGGAGGAATATAAAAATCTACCTTGCCTAACAAGCTGGAGAGGCAAGTTAAATGCATGTGTACCAAGATGTCCTGGTTGATCCAACCTGAGGTGTACAGATAATAATTCTTGCCAATACTACTGCTATTCCCCTTCAGGGTTTAATTTGCATGAGTATTTGTATTGGAAGGGCAGGGGACAGAAAGCTCTGGCTGGGTTCAAAATCTAGATTTACTCACTGTTTGTCAGATATGTGTATCTCTGGGTAAGTAATATTTATCTTCAATGCCAATGTCCTTATGTTTAACATGAGAGTAACAATAGTATATATTTTGTAAGATTATAAAGAGAATCAAATTAGATAACGTGTATAAAATGCTTAGCATAGTACCTGATAACTAATAAGTGAACAACAAATGTTGGTTACTTCAGGAATTAGTTTCCCTAGTGTGAGTTTTCTCTAGGAGAGTGGTCATTAGGCTTGAAGCTAAATAAATTGTTTTCAGATAAACTTTGTGAGATTAGAGGCCCAAACAGTACTGTTTGGGAGCTAAGGAAATAAAAGCAGATTCAAGGTTTGGGAGGGAGCAAGCTTTGCCCTTCTGCTTGGAACACAGCGTGGCCTGAGGAGTTGTGGTGACCATTGGCATTACATAGCTTTACAGTTTGGAGAGCACTGGGGAGATGCAATATTCTCACAAGATACACCACTCCTAAGTGCCTTTTGGGAAGCAAACATCAAGGTGGATGGGAGAGAATATGGGGAACTGGTCCTGAGCAGATATGAGAAAACAAAAATTACCAGAAATGACTGGAGCTATTTAGACAAGGGAAGGCTATAAGCTCATTTGTATACTAACAGGCTGGTAAGGCCTAACGGCATTTGCCTCATTCATATATAAACACAATAAAAATATAAGGCAGCACATGCTAAGGGCAAATAAAGTAACCAAGATGAAAGTTCACTATGAAGGTCAGGGAGGAAGAGATCAGTGTGAGATAGAGCATTCAAAGCTCCGAAACATCAGCTGGCCTTTGCAGACTGGTGGAAGCCAAGTTGTTTAGGGCAGGTCTTTAAGTAGGAAAGACAGATGAGCCAAGGTGTGGAGCAAACACATTCTTGGGCTTTAGGGACAACAACTGGAACAGGAGTAAGTGGGTGGTGTGTGCAGGAAAATAGTGGGGGAAAAGGTTAGAAAGCTATTCTGGGATTATATCTGGATAGTGAAAGGACCTGGGTTTGGTCCTACAGGTGATGAGCAACTATAGAAAAAAGATTTTGATTTGGGAAACCTACAGTGAACCTAGTAATCGATAAAGTTAATCAGGCTTCACTTGTGGTACGGAATAGGAGAGATGCACAGGAGTATGTGAAAATGGTTAGACTCTTCCTAGATGAAGTGGGACAGCGATGAGAAGTATTATTATATAGACATAACATTACTTACCACTTTCTTAAAAAGCATTTATGGGGGGGGAAGTAATTAAGAGAAGTATGGTCTTCTATTACTCCTCAATTTCCATTCAAAAATTTCTGATGATTCCTACTCTATGTTCCAGTGGATATAGCTGTAGGCCACAGGTTGCTTGTTTGTAAGTTGCACAAGCACTCTTCATGATACACTCAAATTCCCAGTGTTAATCTAATTCTCTCTCTCTCTGTGTGTGTGTGTGTGTGTGTGTGTGTGTGTGTGTATGTGTGTGTGCATGTGTGTCTAGGTCTAATTCAGACTTGTGCTTTGGAAATATAACTGCATTCTTACAATTATTTTAGGCATTTCAAACCCTGCATATGGATACATTTCTATATAATGGTACTTGTGATAGAACAGTGTCATATAAAAATATAGTTTTCTCTTATTCAGAGTCCTACAAATGCTTTCAAGTAAGTTGGTAAAGTGATGTAATGCTTTTGCCTGTTGCTAACCCAACTGACTGTTAATACATGCCATTGGTTTACATACTTCTTCCAATATTTGCCTAGGAAAAAAATGTTATTCAACTTGAGCAATGACTAGGTTTTTCAAGGACATTCTTATAACTACAAATACTCACTTGAGCTTTTTAGCAAGATTCTCAGCAAAAGTCCATCATGATGCAGTAGGGTTTCCAGAAGCAAGTTCCAATTACAACCTGGCTGGGATAAGAGCAGTTTCAATTGACCCTCGGCTTTCAGTCCTCCAGCTGATGGAGTCCTTTCAAAATGCAAGATAAAGATGGAGTAATGAAGTTAATTTATCTATGAAATTAATAGCCTTAAAGTACAGATGTAATGCTAACTCCTTTAAATGTCAATTCCTCCCAGATTACTCTAAAAATGCTTTCATGCTTACTTACTTTAGGGTTGCCTGGGGAAGGAATTACATTTAATCTCAACTAGCTAAAAGCAAATTAACACTTGATAGCCTGCCAAATTTAAAACTGATACAAAATACCCATGCCTATATTTCACGGAACTATGTCTGTTTTTGTTTCCTGGCGAAAAGAAAAATCAGTTATGCATTTATTTTGAATGCATGCATTTGTTCATTTGCCAAATATATGAATGCCTACTGTGTGCTATTAACTCCTTTCATTATTAATGGAAAGAAGTTTTGATGGCTTTGGCTAGTTTGTAATTTGCTATGTACTGTGATTGAAGATGAAAAAAAGTTCGAAGCTTCTGTCAAGGGTCAACCGTAATCTAATTATTTAATATGTAAAGCCTTATATCAACATGCAATTATCAGAACCACTGCAGTTACACTATTACCGACTTGGGTAATCATTTCATCAAAGGGAAAGAATTCCAAGGCAAATACGCTTCTGCTTGAAAAATTATCATCAGTTTTGAACAGAAAATAGAAATCAGGTCTCTCACATCACCACTTTCATTTACCAATGAATCAGCAGGAGAGCAAAGAAACTGATAACATTATTTACTTTTCCCTTCTAAAATCTAGAAATCTAAAATTTAGATTGTCTAACAGTCACAAAACAGGAAATCAACTTACAAGGAGAACAACAACAAAAAAAGGCAGGAAATGGTTAAACTCAATCTGGTGACAGCCTTAAGAATGTGGGAATAGGGCGGCAAGGGGAAGGGAAGGTGGACTGAGCAATGTAGAGGTGAGAATGGGAGCATTGTATACTTCAGGGTGGAAAGTAATGCAGAGCAAAGGGTATCACTGAGAGAGGCAATTTGCAGCATTATCATCAGCAGATGCAATTTACTTTGTGGTGAGCCATCCAGTTATCAACACAGCCTAAACTAGTAGTTTTCAAAGCTTGGGCCCCAAACCAGCAGCATCAACCCCACCTGAGAACTTGTGAAATGTGCTAATTCTCCAGCCTCATCCCATCAGAAATTCTAGGGCGATTGGGTATGGGTGGGGTGGGTGCAGGGCAGAAATCCGTGTTTTAACAATCTTTCTCGAGGAGATTCTGATGCATGCATGGTAAGGCTTGAGAACCACTGTTGTAGGCCTGTGCTTTCTGAAGCACAGGCAGTAGGGGTAGGGACCAGTTAGTATCTTCTTTCCTGCCTCTGCCTTTGTGCCATACAGGTCCACTTTAGCTGCACCTACAATGGGCTAAATGTTTATGTCTCACCTCCTCAAAATTCGTATGTTGAAACCCTAATCCCAACGTATCTGGCAATGGGGACTTGGGGAGATAGCTGAGTCAGGAGAGTGGAGACTCCATGAATGGGATTACAGTCCTCATAAGAAGAGGCCAGAGAGTTAGTCTGACCTCTTTCTGCATGAGGATACAAGAGGTTCGCTATGAGAAACCTGGAAGAAGGCCTTCACCAACATCCAACTGTACTGTATCTTACCTTAGACTTTCAGCCTCCAGAACCATGAGAAGTAAATGTTTGTTAAGCCACCTAGTCTATGGTATATTTGTTATAACAGCCAGAGCTGATATACCATCCTTGCAACGAACTCCCAATAGTAGTTTATCTTTATATTAATCCTATTCTTCCTTTAATTTGCAGCAAAATTTTCACTGTCCCTGTGAAGTGTTCACTAAAAATTTCTCCTCACAGTGGTAAGTTTACACATTTTAGCACTTTATTATTTAATCAATTAAAGTTTTATCTGTTCAATTCACCCAGATTCAAACTTTGTGAAGACACTTGCTTTATATCCCAAAGCTTCCTTAGTGAACTAAGCAAATTTAAAGGCTTTCTAAATGTTAACCGATTGATTCTTTCTGCTCATAAATGAGTAGGCAAACTTAGAGACAAAAAAAAATGATGAGGACGCTTTGCCAAAAGGCTGACTTAAACAAAATGAGAAGATTCAAAGACACAAAATGAAAAAGTTTCAGAACACCTCCCCCTTGGTTTGGAATGGTGTTTGGAACATCTCATAACCTTATGATGCACAAAATCTGTCAGCTTGTGCTTGAACTTTGGACCAACTCAGGCTTCCCATTTAAAACTCTGATAACATATCTCAAATTGGAGTAACTCCTTAGGCAACTGGTGGGGCATTGTTAGCTAGGAAACCTCCTGCCTTGGGTGGGTGGTAAAGAGAGAAGAAGGGTATTACTAAACTCTAGGGCCAGAGGAATTAAGTCTGTCAGTTCTGAACATCCCAGGAGTTCTGAATTACTTTTGCAGATTAGTCTGGGTCTGGCTTTTGCAGTAGTCCCAAATATGGTGCCAAAGGAATAATTTACTAGGTGATCCCTTTGGACTAAAAATCTAAAGCAGATCCTCACAATGGCTGTCCCTACTTCCATCCTAAACCCTAAACCCTAACTTCTAGATGCTCTCTTGGGGTTCAATGGATGAAAAATTCTACTTTGTAGTAAGTTGTACATTAAAATTGACTTGGGTTTTGAACATTTCCTACCTATATAGTACACTTGAGTTGTGCTAACGGAAAGATCCCATTTGGCTGGAGTGTAGAAAGGAAGGAGAATCTTTGAGAGATAGTCTGAAGAAGGAGCCGAGAGCTAGATCATGGAGGGTCACAATATCTCAAGGTGTGGATTTTAGACTCATTGGAGAGTTTAAGGCAGAGGGGATTACTGATCTGGTTGCCGTGCAGTGAATGGATTGGAGGTGGTTAGTGTTTTTGCTTAGCCCTTCAGTCATGAAATAAAATGATTTGAATGTCATTTTATACCACTGTATCTGAATACCTGATTATAAATAAAATCTCTCATTTACCAGATGGAAAGCTGTTTGTTGACATGTACCTCAATTCTTGGATCTTTCAACTTATCACAGATTTTGAAATGTACAGTAGAATGACTCACTATGAGGAAAAATAAAATAGTACAAACATTCTTCAATCACCAAGCTCTGAGTAATAAATGCATTGAGGAATCTGTGTTGGGCATATGGAGAAGCATATGTTCCCTCAGCCTTTGAGCTGGTGGAGCTGTGAAAGTGAGATTAGCCTTACAAAAAATGACAGAAAGGGAAATTTTATATATATATACATATATATACATGTATGTATGTATCAAATATGTACACGTTGAATTCCACTATAATACAAAGAGGGGAAAAATTTAATATAAATCCTATAGAACTCAGAAATCTTGTACTAGGAGACAGGATGAATTTATGGCTGGGTTGTACTCAGCTTATATCTACTAAGTGCTGTATTTCTGGGGCACAAACTGGCCTCAAGAATTTTTAAATTCCAAGTAGTAATGGAGTCCAAGCATTATTGGTTTATGAAACTATCAATCTATTCTTATAAAATCATTGTGAAAAATCTAAGCTACATTCAGATATGTTTATGAAAACTCATCAATTAGTTGCCATACTTTCTTCAATTTTTTTTGATATATACTCATGCTGCAATAGAATGGTTAAACAGAATCTTAGTCATTATCAGTCCATACTGTCCTGACTTCCAACTTGATGTGAGGTAAGGCTAGGGCCAAGAGAAGGCTCTGCAATAGGTTCAGACTGAGATATGAGTACCCTTATTGCTCAGGACACATGACCATGGGATACATTGTTCCTATCATTTATATATGACGCCAAAGCTGCAAGACTAGCAGAGAATTGGAATGGACCCCAAAGTTCACAGCTTGGGAATGACACACAGTGGTGCTGGAATACTGTCCCTCAAGACTTGATGTTTACTTTGAACCAACAGTCATTATATGGTACTGTTACCCCAACAGACAAACTACATAGGTCTGAGAGACAAGGGGTGAAAGTAGGAGCAGCCCCTCCCACCAAAGATTCTGATTATCCACTTGGCAAATTTGTGCTTTCTACTGCCAATATCTATAAACTCTGGAGAAGCAGAGGTTCTGGTTTCCATGGTGGGGTGGGATGGGGGTATACACAGCTCTACCAGGAGACCATTTAGAATTCCACTAAATCTAAAGTTATAGCTGCCATCTGGTCATTTTTAGCTCCACATGCCAGCAGTTTATCAGGAAAAGAAAGGAGTTACTATGCTGGCAAGGGTGATTAACCCTATTTATCATGAGAAGCTGGGCTTTCTACTGCATAAGGGGAACAGGGAGGTGTATCTGTAACTCAAGAGATTCACCAGGGCATCTCTCAATGCTTTCATGACTGACAATAATCACATACAGAAGACTTCAGTAACCAAGTCTGATAAGGGAATGGTAAACAGAAGTTCAGCACCTCGAGGATGAAGGTCTCAGTGACCACACCCAGCAAATAACATAAATCAGCAGAGATGATGACCAGTGATGAGAGAAAGGGTGGTGGAAGAATATAATAATGAATATGACTTGCAGATTCAGAAATATCTAGAGCAAGGGGTACTGTAGCCTGTCCTACTAAGTCCATTATCATTAAGCTTACATAGATAAATAAATTGTAAGCAGCTACGACCCTGAACAATCAATGATGGAATTCAGGGAACCTAGCATAGGGAATAAGCAGACCTCGGTAGTGTGAAGGGTAGGGCCATAGAAGACATTGTCAATGACCCCATGTATTAGTCTATTATCACAATGCTTAAAATAACTACCTGAGACTGGGTAAATATAAGAGGTTTAATTGACTCCTAGTTATGCATGGCTTGGGAGGCCTCATGAAACATACAATCATGGCAGAAGGCAAAGAGAAAGCAAGGCATATCTTACATGGCAGCAGGAGAAAGGAAGCAGGAGAACTGCCAACACCTTTAAACCTTTAGATCTTATGAGAACTCACTATCATGAGAACAGTGTGGGGGAAACCACCCCCATGATCCAATTA